TATATATATATATATATATATATATATATATATATATATATATAAATTTCATATAAAAAATATATTACAAGTTTTTACGGGCGTATGTATACCTCAATATCTTATCATTGAAGGTAATGACACTTACTGATAGCCAAATGCAAGTCGCTAGACTACTCGGGATAACAGAAGCTGCGGCAAGTAAAATACGTGATGGTATAATGCCTAAGGTGAAGATTTATATATAAAATAATTTAAACAATATATGTTTACATATATATTAAAATATTTAAATAATATATTCTTTATTCGCTAACAATTTTGGATTATAGTCTGTTGAGAAGAGGGTAGTTGAGAGATTTTATGTGACATTGATAGTATATGAATTGTGGAATCATCACTCAGTTTATTTCGTTGCCGAAAAATATCAAGTTAATAGAGGTGTTGTACAAAATCTTCTGAATACGGTATCAATGTTTGCATCTTCTGTAGTGAGATTTTGCCAGGTAAATTAATAAGATATAATTGTATTGATAAAAAAGTCCTAATAAATTCATTTCTTACATTTTTTATTTACAGGAACTACCTGAGTTTTGGGCATTTACCGAGATGTTAGGTACATTTAGTAAAAAATTATCTTACTGTTGTCCAGCAGAATTAGAAACATTAATGGAACTTCCATCAGTTAAAATAGTAAGCGTAATACTAGCCTCATATTGTTAAAACAATATATTACTTTTACATAATGTTTCAACATAAAATTTGATCCATGTATCCATCTTATCATAGGGCAGAGCTCGTCAATTGTACAAAGCTGGTTATAAAACTTTACAATCTATAGCAAAAGCTAATCCCAGAGATTTAAAGGAACAGATTCCATATCTGAATAATAAAATAGTCGCACAAATTATTGCTGCAGCAAAAGTAAGTTATTCCATATAGTATATATTAATAAAAATATTTTAATTTATGTCCATATTGATATATATTATATATTAATAAAAATATTTAAATTTATGTCCATATTGATACATTGATAAGTTGAAAAGATTACTTCTAAGTTTATATCATGAAATGTAAATCTTGATATGTAAATTTATATAAAAAATTTAGAGCTTTATTTTATGTATAAAATTAAATTGCAGCTTTTGATACTGCAAAAAGTGGAGGATTTAAAAGATGAATGTGAAAACATTTTAGATGGTATAAATGTAAGTCAAATAGATATATGTGAGACATAGATGTTAAACTATGAGAAAGAGAAACTAGAGAGAGAGAAAAATAAAGTTTCTAAATTTTGATTATTTCTTTTAAATGTATATATGAACATGTATAATTTCTTTAGTGAAGCAATATATTTAAAATATCCAATTATATATATACATAAGAAGAAATCAGGTAAATTATATTTTTGTAAAGTTACATATTTTATAATATATATACATATATCTTAAAAGCACATGAGATAATAATTATTAAACATCCTTTTTTACAATTATAAATTGTGCCCAATAGAGCGATGTGTTTTGAAGAATAATACATCGTTTAAGCAGGCACATACATTAATTAACCCAATAGTGTTTGATATATACTTAAAGAATGGTAATATATCAAATACAAATATAATATTAAATAATGTTGTGGAACAGTTTTTTACATATTATAAGAATTTATAAATATATGAACTATTTATACAAATTTTATTTTATAAAATTATATTCACATAATACAATATAATCAAGTTTTATCTCTTTTTATACAAACATGGTTTCAAAGTAACTGTTGGAAGAGTCTTCTTCTTCATATTTATATTTTCTTCTTTCTTAAAATCCATAAAATAAAATAAATCATGAGATAAATCTTTCCAAGTATTTTTAAAACCATAACAGCCTAACAGTTTTATGAAATCTTCTACATCCTCAAATCTGCTTTCAACCTCGGCTATTTTTAAGACACCACTAAATTTAAGAGAACAGAAGCATTAATTTTTAACATAATCATATATATAATAACATATATAATATATAATAAATCATGATTAATATCATTTATTACTTACTTGATTTTAAGTACTCTGTTAGCTTCTATCAGATAGTCATTAAGATTAGTTCCCATTAGGGAAAGACAAAACACGACAATGTGGACACTGTTCATTAATAATGGAGTATGAATGATGTCACAAGCTTTTACTTTGTCGTTTAGAGCAATAAAGTCAAATGAGTGAACTTCATGAGGAACAGAAGCAGCAAGTTGTGCTTCACCACATCCAAAATCAGCTATTATATTATCTGTTGGCCTATAATTATCAAAATTTAATGTTACATAACTATAATTTACTGTTAGTATTTATTATTAGTAATTTACTGTTTGCATAATATAAACTTATTTAAGAATTAAAAAAATTTTATTTAAGGAAAATATTTTGATACAAACATTTTTTTAATAGATGATATTATCACATCCAGTGGATTTACCGGCCATTGTTCAATCTGCTGTTTATATCCATCATGATAAGCTTTGAAAGCATCAGGATCTTCTTTAAAATATTGCTTAGATTGTGAGCTATCACTGTTGTACAATGTTTCATTTATGAATCTGAATCTAGATGCACTTAATTGAGCCATCATTCTATCTCTCAATGTAAGTGGCTGTTGTTTCTTTACCTTTTGCACAATCTGTCTTGTTTGTGTCTTTTTGATAAGCATTTCTTCTAATCGTTTAAGTTTTATCTTATGATTGTTTAATTTTAATGTTTTTCCAGATTTTACTTGCTGTGCTTTTTTATTAATAGATATCTGTTTCATTTTATTCTGGCTTATTATTTTAGAATTCTGGATTTCTATTTCACTTTTGTTTCGTGCAGCGGAAAAAGGAGAGCAGCAAATCGGGAGCACTAAAATATATACTACTAGAGAAAAACCTGAGAGCGGCCACGCCATACGTTTTGGCCGACACCGATTTTCACGCTGTTCTGCATTTTTGAGGTGCAACTACGTTCCCTACGCCCATTTCAGACGCTGTCGGTAAAGTGTCGATTTGTTACGTGTTTATTCTACGTCCATTTTCTAGCGATTCGTGTCCGTGCTAAGCGCATAATTGCGTGGTTAAGAACCTGGACAGTCCATGGGCATAGAATGGACACGTAATAAATCGACACTTTACCGACAACGTCTAAAAATGGACGTAGGGAACGTAGTTCCATCTCAAAAATGGGTGCAGAACAGCGTGAAAATCGGTGTCGGCCAAAACGTATGGCGTGGCCGCTCTCAGGTTTTTCTCTGCTCTGACAAAAGTCTCTCGATTAACGATATACGATATCACATCGACTGTGCAAGTCGATACTCGATAATCGTTCCTTGTTGCCGATAAGATGGCGCTACCGTCGCGCGCGTCGGGTGAAGCGCGAGCACAGGACAGTGGCGGTGAGTGTCTTTCCAGTAAACAATATGGCCGGTGCGGTTCGGTGCGTGGGTTATGTCGTCCTCGTTGTGTTCGCCGAGTGTCGTGGTCCGTGCTGCGAGCGGGACTAGCCGTTCAAGGTAAATATGTTTCCATTCTAACGTAGCGTAAGATAATCGAAATATCTAGTCGCGTTCAACAACATTCGCTCGACTTCGTCGCGACTTCTGGCGCGCGCGAGATCGTCGGCCGAGTTTACGAGCGTTCCTTCGATCTTCACCGAAAAAACGTCGTCTAACATTTCGCGAGGCGCTTTCTCGCATCCCATGGGGTATCGCGTTATGTCCCGGTCGCACTGTCGATCGCCATCGCGGCGTTAACAGGTGTCGAGGCGTCGCGTCGCAACGCGCCCGCATCGCGTTACCCGAGAGAGCGAGTAAAAGCGGCGTCGACGTCACGGGCCGCACGCACGCAAGCGAGCTAGTTTTCCACGAATTCGTGAGCGCGCGACACCGCTCTATATTAACACTCACCTTCCTCGCCGGGCTAGACCCGGCGCGCAGTTTCGCGAACTTGGCCGCGACGAGCCTCGCTTTTTGCGCCGCCGGCGACGGCGCGCGCGAGGGCCGCGACCGCTCGTGGCTGCCGAAGCAACAGGTTTTTTGCACCGAGAAACCGTCCGGTGACGACCTCTCTTTCTCTCTTTCTCCGTTTCTCTGCCCTCTTCTCTCTCTTCTCATCTCTTCTTCTCCTCTTCTCTTCTGCGAGATTCGCGTCGTTGTCGCGATTGGAATCGCGATCTCGAGCGTGTCCGCCAGTGCGACGATGGTAATAGCCGATAGGGGATACCAACAGGTTTGTTTGATTACGCGTGCGAAAAATGCGATTAGCTTAAAAGAACAGTCACACCTTGGAGCGATAAAACGCGGATCGAGCAAGATATTGACAATTTACGAGAAACCGTCGTTCAATCATTTTATCCGATCTTCAATTTAACTTGCGTACTTATGTAGTATTGGTCGCGCCGCGTCGTTGTGTTGATATCGATGTACAGTCGCGGACAATAAGGTTGACTGCTTTTAACTTCATGCGATTCAGTTTCTGAATACGTCCTATTCTAGGGATTGGGTCATTAAAGTGACTATAAGTAGACTGTAACCGTCTCATCTCACCTTTAGTTAGGATTCGGAAATTGAATCGCGTGAAGTTGAAACTCAATCTTATTGTCTGCGACCGTATCTATCCCGGATTAGGATAGAGTGTTATTTTTTCTCTCGCCTCTTCCTTTCTTTTTTCAACGAAATATTATTACCATGTGTTTCGTCATTTTTATTGAGATATTATTCGCTCCGCACGTAACTTCAGATCCAAATTGCTCGGATGTAGCAACAATCATATTGATTTTCACGGTACGAGGATTTGTGTTTACATACTGAATATGCGCGACGAGGACATTCCGTAACGATTCCGGACGTGACATTCGAGTGATTACGGACGATCTCGCGGCGAATGAAAAATACGCACGCGATCGAAGACAGACTCGCGTCAGCATGGCGGAGGTCGGCAGGAACTTCAAGGTGCATACCGCGCGAAAAGTTGCCGTGACGCAAGACACGCTGACCTCAAATTTCGCGCGGCGCAGCACAGCGCGCGCGCACGTGCGCTTTCGCTTCATTAACCACTTTCCGCGCGAGTTAAAGGGTCGCCACGCAACGGGATGTAAGAATGAGATAGCAGAAACGAGGATTTAATACGGAGGACTCGAGACTGGCAGCGGAGACGTCGTGCGCACGCACGTAAAGAGACGTTTCGGAAAACAGTCCGTGAGTTCTTACTTAAGACCATTTGTGATTTATGAATTCCGTGCGAGATCACGCGGCTGAAAATATCTCGTGCATTTCTCGCGACACTCCTGTAGAAAATAAAATAAACATTTTTCACGCGCGCGGCTTAAGCCTGATCTACAATGTCTCTTTTGCTTCTTGCTTCTTGTTCTTTATCTTTTTCTGGCTTAAGGCTTAACCCTTAAACTTGATCTACAATGTGTTCTTTGCTTCCTGCTTCTTTCCCTTTATCTCTTTCTGACTCATATATTAAGTCTTAAGCTCAATGTACAATGTGTGCTTTTTACTTCCTATTACTTGTTCTCTGGCCTTTTCTAGCTTAAGACTTAAAGTTTGAATCAGCAAAAGACAAGAGAAAGAAACAGGAAGCAAAGAATACATTAAAGCCTGATCTACAATATGTTCTTTGCTTTCTGCTCCTGCTTCTTTCTCTTTATTTCTTTCTGACTCAAACCTTAAGCTTAAAGCCTGACCTACAATATGCTCTTTGTGTTCTGTTTCTTGTCTTCTATCTTTTTCTGGCTTAAAGCTTAAGGTTTGAGTCAGAAAGAGTTAAAGAGAAAGAAGCAGGAAACAGAGCATATTGTAGATTAGGCTTTAAGCCAGATAAAGACAAAGAACAAGAAACAGGAAGCAAAGGACACATTATATATTAAGCTTTAGAGTACTGAGGATGTATTTGATTAGCGAAAACCGTTGTCTGCGGGCATATGAAATAGGAGCGATCAGATAAGCATCGGCCATACGGAGCGTTCAATTCCGCGTTGCTCCGTACGCAAAGGGAGAATTTATATTTTGGCAGAAAAGCAGAAAACAGAAAGATAAAAACCTATCAGAACTCGCGCGCAGTAAAAAAGCAGAAACTATTTACTACTACTTGATCATCAGCGCGAGCTTTGATTGGCTTCTGTCTTTCTATTTTCTGCTTTTTTATTTTTCTGTTAAGATATGACTTCTCCCTAAGGGATATAATGCGGTCGCAGTTGTGTTTCAAAGTCGTAGCACCAGTTTAGGAATCGATCATGTATCTATTTCCTTCGCGTGAAAAATGAAGAGTTTTATTGAATTTATCAATGAAACTTTTCATTTTTCATGAGTTTACGCGTAGAGAATAGATACTATTTTGAAACATAACTGCAACTGCATTATAGACGATCCTTAAGAGTTAAGGTTTAAGTCAGAAAGAGATAAAAAGAAAGAAAGAGAAAGCAAAGAGCATATTGTTAAACTTTGCAGTGCAGAGAAACATTGTGTAGGCACAACACGCGATTTGCTTCGAGTCCGCGGCCGGGTATTTGTTTATTCTTCATTGTTTTCCTTCTTAATTGCGAAGAGATAATAATAAATACAGGGTGTGTTGCGATATTGAGGTTGCAGCTGCCTCTGCGTTCTTTCTTGTATTCATGTATTCGCGATATTTACATATCTCTAATATATACAATTTAAAAAGTTGAAGACACTATATACACTATATTTCGCGAGAGACAAAACAAAGAGGAAAAGAATATAGAAGAGTACGATTCACAATTTTTCCAGAAAGTTTTAATAAATGGAATTACAGAAGAAACTCTTAGAAGTAGAAATCACAATTAATTTTTTGTCTTTAAAATTCACCGAATAAAATTTCGTCCGTTGATTGTGAATTTGTAAGTTTAGATATACATTTCGCAAATTTTGTTTTTCAAAATTTGTATTTTCGTACTCGCGTCATTTTCTTCTAAGACCGCGTAAGGAAAATATCCTTTCCTGATTTCTTCAAGAACAGTCACGTTGCGTTCTCCATGTCGAGCTGCCGCCGTTGCCGTTCGTTTGTTCGCGAATGACGTAAGTTGACACATCGCGACTCCTCGTTGCGCTCGTCTGCCAGCTAGTTAATGCTCGGGCCAATGCTAAGGATCCCCATTGATTGGGGCCACAAAAGGCAAGTGTCGCGCCGACACCCTTTAGCCCAAACAAATTGATAAATCACGAACGGCGGATTTGCGTGTGCATCCGATCGAAACGATGCTATTGATATATCAATACCTCTTGGTATATCGAAATATCGAGCGCGTAACGCTACATATCAATATGTATTCGGCCTCTCGAGTGTCCCTTGTAATTCCCATTATACGGAAAAAACGACTCTGTTATTGTAACTGAATTTTCTGTTGTCTGGAAATCAGATGAAAGGTTCAGCTGTAGGCATAGAAAGATTCCTACAGGAGGTTTCTACTCAATCAATTGCTCTCAGTTGCCTTAACTAAGTTTTAATGCAGCTTTGAATATTCAGACGAATGTTTTCGGTCATAGTAACAGAGATATTATTTCTTGTTAGCGAGTTTTTCATTTGGTCCTCATTCAGTTACACAAACTGAAATTTTTTCCGTGTAAAAATCTTTTCCGAAATCTTTTCCGAAATCTTTCCCATTATACAAGAGAAACAGCTCCATAGTGTAGCTGAATTTTCTATTGTCTGGCAACCAGATGAAAGACTCAGCTGAAGGGACAGAGAAATTATAGAAGATTTCTGTTCAGCCAATTGCTTTAAGTTATCTCAATCGAGTTTTAATGCGGCCTTGAATGTTTAGACGAATGTTTTTGGTCACAATAACAGAGATATTATTTTTTGTCAATGAGTTTTTCATTTGGTCCTTATTCAGTTACACGAACCGAAATTTTTTCCATGTAAAAATCTCTTCCGAAATCTTTTCCGAAATTTTTCCCATTATACAGGAGAAACAGCTCCATAGTGTAGCTGAATTTTCTATTGTCTGGCAACCAGATGAAAGACTCAGCTGAAGGGACAGAGAAATTATAGAAGATTTCTGTTCAGCCAATTGCTTTAAGTTATCTCAATCGAGTTTTA